TCCTGCTGAAAGAGGCCACTGCCATCAGGGAAAACCATTTCCATGAAGGGTATACTTGTCAGACACAATGATTAGGTAGGTGGTACATGTGAAGTAACCATATGAATGGCAGGACCCTAGGCTTCCCAACAAAAAACATTCCCCAAAGCATCGCACTGCCTCCGCTAGCTTGCCTTCTTCCTATATTGCATCCTGGTACCATCTCTTCCCCAGGTAAGCGATGCACATGCACCCAGCCATCCACACAATGTAAAGGAAAACATGATTCATTAGACCAGGCCACCTTCTTCCATTGCTCTATGGTCCATTTCTGATGCTCACATGCCCATTGTAGGCACTTTTGGTTATGGACACGGGTCAGCATGGGAACTCTGACAAGTCTGCAGCCCCATACACAACAAATGACGATGCCCATTTTTTTCAGTTTCAACACATCTTCAGGGAAAACATGTTTACTTGGTGCCTAACCCACTTTCAGAAGCCATTGTAATGAGATGATCAATGTTATTCACTTAAGCTGCCAGTGGTGTGCTGCAGTTAATTTTGTCCTTATGATGGAGTGAAAACATTTCATCGTCCAATTAACGTCCACACTACATCACTGTGCCCCAAATCACAAACCTCAGGCCAAAGATTTCCATGGACAGAGTAAAGGTAATAATTATGGCTGCCTGGTTTGCCAACAGGGGTAAACAGAGGCACCCACAAAGCAAAGTACAAATGCCTCAGCTGTCAATTGATAAAGTCCATAATCCACTGCAAGTTTGCATTAGCAGTTCTTGGTTGCACAGCAATATAGCATAATCCTGGCCACACATCTTACATCACAACCTCTTTCAGATTTATCGCCACATGCAATAAAGGTCTTAACAATACATATACATTTTATTCAGTTAGTAAGGCTCTGCTCTTGTACTACATAACTGTTGGTAAATCTAAAGAATATTATACAAACATCTTTACTGAAATCTATGTTGTGTGAAGTTATGGCTTAAGGCTACCCATACATGCCTCAATTTCAAAAAATTCCTACATTCGTGCTAAAAAGTGTGGATGGAGAAATCCCTCATCAGCTATTGTATTCAAGACAGCCATAACACCAGTGGCGACCTCAGTACCATAAAAATGACTGCATCTGATAGGCCACAGACACTGTTTGCTTGATAATTTTACACCTGGCTCAGTCGATTTTTAATTAGGTTTTTATTGAAGCCAAGTGGTGTTGACAGACACACAGGACTTGAATTTCTGAAGATTCAATGTTGCAGACAGCTGGCCACACAATCAGATTTGATTTGATCTAAGACTTTCCAACAACTATGTAACACAAATATCTACCTAATTAGTTATAAACTGAAAGCACTGTTCTTGTTCTACAAAGTCCGAGGATGGCCATACTTCAACACTTTGCTTAGATCTGATCAAAGCTTACTAACATCTAAGTAGTGAACTCCCACCAATAAATCGAATACATTATTTAGGTGGGCTCTCACCTGTTGGTAAATCTTAACTAGATTGTACAATCAGGCTGCAACACGTGTGACCAGTTGAAGACATTTTACACTTAATAGTGCCCTGAAGACACATCTTAATACAGCTACAGCTCCTAGGTCCAGTAACCCTTGGGAGAAGGTGGCATCATTTCCTGTGATAATGTCAGACTAGCGGAGACGTCTTCTTGTGAGCACTGGAGCCCAATGCTGCTCAACTCTAGTAATATTAAGATAAAACACAATGTAACAAAATGCCATCATTACCAGGCCTTGCACTTGGATGTATGGAGCCAAGTCTTAACCACTTCAAGTCCAGACACTTTCACCCCCTTCCAGTCCAGGACAATTTTCAGCTTTCAGTGCTATCACACTTTGAATGACAATTGCACGATCATGCAACACTGTACCCAAATGAATTTTTTAGCATTTTTTTTTGAGACAGATAAAACTTTATTTTGGTGGTATTTATTCACTGGGATTTTTATTTTTTTTGCTATAGTAGTGAAAAAGTCCAAAATTTTGAAAAAAAGTGTTTCTTATAAAATTTTGCAAATATTATTTCTTCATAAATCTGGGCCAAAATTTATTCAGTTATCTTTTAGTAAAAAAACAAAAAAAAATAGTTTGTAAAAATCTTTTTTTAAACATTAAAATTTGATTATATATATTTTTTTATTTTTTTATATACTGCCACCCTAGTAGTACAGTGTCACCATAGTGACACTGTACTACCTGTGGAGGGTGATGAAGATTTTTTTTTTTTTTTTACACTGATTGCTTTTACAGCCTTTATGGGTTTAAAAGCAATCATTTCTCCTCTCTGGCTGCATTCTTGCAGCCATTGAGAGATACTGTGTGAGCTGTGATTGGTCACAGCTTGTCACATGATACAAGGCTGTTGTGAATAGCCTTGTACCATGTGACCTCTGTAATCATTCACACATTTCACACATAGTAAGCAATGTCAGAAGTGACATCTTGCTTACGACTCATGTGATCACTGATTGGCCAATCAGTGAACACAAGATCGGGACCTCACACAGAGGTCCCATACAACGATCGGTGTTCCACTGTGTCCAGAGCACACAGCAGGCATCGGATCGTGGTGCTGCTGCGCGCTCCCAGGGAGCGGGGAGGCCGTTTATAGACAGCCACCCGCCCCTGCACTGCTCCCGTCTGGCCGTTTATATACATGGGCCGGACGGAAAGTGGTTAAAGCAGTAGTAAACATATATATATATATATATATATATATATATGGAACGCCCCCCCTCCCCGATCACGACAGTGTTCCAAATTGACCGCACAATCAGTGCAGTATGTATGCTCCACTGATGTTGCCCGCTGCTACAACTGTGGATATCTCCTACATGGCACATGCTTAGAAGTTCACAGTACCTACAGGTAAGCCTTATTATAGACTTACCTGTAAGTACAAGCGGAATTTACTACCTCTTTAAAGTAGAATTCCAAGATCCAAACTTATCAATCAGTCAGTCTAGTTCCCTCCGGCCCGTTTAGTTTTTCAGTTTAAATTATTGCTATTTAATGTATGAATACCTGTACAATAATTAAGTTATGACCATTAAGTGACCCAGCTCCCTGTAGCATTTACTTGTGTATTGCAGGTCGGTGGGGGTGGGGGCTGAAATAGCTCCCACATGTTACAGCGCTGTCACTCTGAGACTGTCTATCACCATTGACATTATAGCTGCCAGTGACTGAGCAGGGAAAAGTAGTGTATAGGCATAGCAAAGCATGGTCCCTCTGAGTGATACCCCTTGCCTCCCTTACACACATTACTTGTAAGCAAAGCATATTGATGACACCCCCCTGTACACCAGGGGGTATGTTCTGAATGACCTGACTAGGCAGGTACAGCCTGAAAGATAGAGTCCCTGTCACCACACCATTCATTTCAACAACAATCTTCCCATAAGAATATATGCACATTTAACATGTGGGCCGGTCATTTACCTGTACAACCCTCCCTTGTGTAGGCACACAAAATCTCTGAGATTGCTGCTGGGCACTGTCAGCTTGCATGTCATGTCAGCAGATTCAATGCGGTCACTCAAATGATACTCTACACTGTTTGTTGTCACTCCTTCCAAGGTGCTACATAAGAGGCTACGTAGGGAGGTAAGGGGAGGGGGAGCTGGGCCAGCACAGAAAGTCCCAAAAGAGAAGAGGGCTATGAAATGCAAGAAGGGAGGAGACTGTGCTAAGGAAACAATTCTTCTGAAGTTGTCACACTAGCCACTTTAGAGACACATTGCAAATATAAATTTTGAATGGAAAGGAAATCCAAAGCAAGTATTTAAATTACTTTACTTTTTTCAGTGCTTTAACCTGCAATTTTTGAAGCTAGTGACAGGATCTCTAAGTGGTCATTAACATGCAGAGAGGTTTGGAGGCACACAGAATGGAGGAGCAGTGGAGGGCATGTATGTGCCATGCTATTTTGCACCCAGGACTGAATAAAACAAAGAGGAGCTACTGAAGCAAGGCTAGAATTGGGCTTTAAGCAGACCCTTCTAAATATTGTGAATACTCCGTGACCCTCCAATGAAAAATGAACCAGAGGATACATTTTCCTTTCTAAAGCCAGTATCTACAGTCGTAAAATGTTCTAGTTCCCAAATAACTTTTTTCACATCAACATTATATGCTGAAGACCCAAAACCCTGGACTGCATACTCCTGCCAGCAGATTGTACACCTCCGTAGACCTCCAAAATTTGTGCTACATATTTACTGCCTGGTACTTTAATAGAGCCACATGTTCCCTACTGCTTTTATACAGGGTCATCTGTGTATGCTCATATGGCACATCCTAAAACTGAAAACAACACAGATGTTATAAATTATTTTACATAGAGGAACAAGGAATAGTTTTATTATTAAGTTAAGGCTGTGCATACTGGAAAAAAAAAACAAAAAAAAATAAAAGAAAAAACAAGTCAGTATCGCCTTGATAAAAGGCACGCAGGAGGTGTGCACAGCTAATCCATGTAATATCGCTATCTGTACAATCACGGATGAAATGCAGGCATGCAAATAGCTTAAAACCACACAGTCCCTTTCTGCAGCATGATGAAATCTCATAATGAAAAAACAAAACAAAAAAAATGGTGTATACCCTTTAGTACACAGTATTAAACATATTTATTTAAAAAAAATTAAAAAACAAAAAAAAAAAACAAACAGAACAAAAACAGACAAACATTGAGAACTAAAACATGAATAAATGAAGGAATCTGGACAAAGTGCCTTGCAGCCCCTAATTCATAGGTTTGTGCTGTCTGGGATTGACGCTTGCCTAGACGTCAGTGTAGTGGTCAGCCCAAAACAGGAATCCATTCAAGTGACAGAGGAGGACATTTCCACTGACAGTATAAAAGTGTACTTAATGTTTCAAGTAATTGGGTTCATACGGCCACAGTTTGAGAAGAAGGTTATTTTACAGTAGAAAGTTCTTAAGGTGATCCTTCATTAAAACCTTTATTTAAAGGGCTCGGGGCCTCTTGGGGTTTATTTGTTTGCTGGCCTGCTCCTCTTCTTGTAAAGCAGCTCGGAATGACTTCACTTTATCTTTAAAAGGAGAAAAACAAACAGCATTAGCAAGCAGCATGTGGATTAAAAGGGTTGATAAACGAAGGGAAAATAGGCTGTAACTTTGCAAAGTAGTTCTCTATAGACCTGGGGTCTCCAGCTATTCAAAGGGCCAGTTTCCTATCCTTCAGACCTTAGGGGGGCTGGATTTTGGCCAGTAGTAGGAGTAGAAAAAGTCCTAGGACTGGCATAAGTGAGAATAAACCTGGCCTCAGGGTTGGTGGAGAAGGAATAGTGCCCCATCATTGGTATTAGTGGAAACAATAATGCCCCGGGGACATGACCTTAAACTAACTGGAGGAAAGTTCAAAACCAAATCCCTGAAAGTACTATTTTACTGAAAGAGTAGTTGATGCTTGTAATAACCTTCCAGCAGAGGTAGTGAGCCAGTCAACAGTAAATAGCTTCAAACATTTTTGGGATAAGCAGAGATCTATACCAAGACAAAAGTTAAAAAAAAAAAAACAAACAAACGGACAGTCTTAATGAACCACTCTGTCTTTCTGCCATCACTTTTCTATGTTTCTATGTACCTTTGGTATTAGTGGGAGGAATAATACCCCATCATTGGTGTCAGTGGCAGAAAGTATGCCCCACTGTTAGTGGGTGAATAGTGCCCCAAAGGCCGGATAAAGGCTAGCAAAGGGCCACAGTTTGGAGGCCACTGCTCTACAGCTTAGTGACTGGAGGTGAAGCTCTGCTGGTTTCCATCATCCAATTATGTGCTAGCAAAAGAGCATTGCATTTGCATGTGATTGGGTATTCCTTGCAAAGAAAAATTTTAACACATTCACCATTCTCTGGAGCAAATTCCCTTGCAAAATGAACATCCCATTTGCCTTTAGTAAATCAACGTGCAAATGTTTGAGATATTTGCACAGCAATTTGTTTTTGTTGTTTGTTTTTTTGTAACAAACAGACCCCTAAATGTTATAAGCAGCATGAATTTTACTGTAATTGAAGGCATTTTTAGGAAATCCTTCTGTAGTACACATTCAGTCTTTTCCCCTCGAGGCCTAACTTTTATACAGCACATGCGTTTTAGTTCCAGTTTTCCAACACTGTGCACAATGCCATAGCTGCTGACCTGATCAATAGGTATACAAAAAGTGTGCTCAATCTCACACTCCAAGCACTGAGACTGAGCTGTTATTGACAGCTCCTTGTCTCATACTAATGATCAGGAGCCAGGAGAACAGGCTCTCTGTCACATGATGCCTGTGACTATCTATCATAGTGTTCATTCACTCTATAGCCTGCCTCTGTATTGTTTTTCTTTAGAGTAGAGCAAAGGTCTCCAAACTTTCCAAACAAAGGGCCAGTTTACTATCCTTCAGCCTTTAGGGGGGCCGGATTGTGGCCATCTGGGGTAGAAAGTCTCAGGGCCAACATTAGTGAGAGTAAACAAGGTCTCAGGTGTGGTGTTTAGTTGCATAGTGCCCCATCATTGCTATCACTGGAAGGAATATTGGCCCATCATTGATGTTGGTGGATGGAATAGGGCCCCATCATTGATATTAGTGAGAAGAATAGTGTCCCATTGCTGGTGTCAGTTGGTGAATTATGCCCCACTTTTGGTGTCAGTGTTAGGAATAGGGCCGTAAGGGCAGGATAAAGGCTAGCAAAGGGTCACATCCGGCCCTTGGGCCACAGTTTGGAGACTACCAGTGTAGAAGAAAAGATTCATGGGGGGAATTCAATAAAACTGCTGCACCACTTATTTGCTTTTATAAATGTGTTGTGCCCAATTCAAAAAAAAATGTCTGCAACAGTTTTGATTTTGACAGCGACCCATGCACCAAATTTAGGTAGTTCTAATTTGTTCTACTTCTCTGCTGTGATGCACAACACCACACAACACACCTGCTCTAAAATTCAAAAAGTATAAGCAGTTTGTATCTTGTGAAAGTGGAGCCAATTAAGACCAACTTGTTTTTGGTGTACAGAGGCAAATTTTGCATACACACACAGGCAATATTTATTACCACCATTTTTGCTGCCTCATGTGTTGCGTGTAATCTGCCCCTGGCATGCTTCTGACCGCAACAGTGGTTTGTTGCATTTTGTGGGGTAAAGAATATCTATTTTAACTGTATATTTAGTTGCCTGCCTGAAGTTCCATTTAATTATAAAGTATCACTTCATAAACAATATTTTTGTGGCTATTTTGCTGCAATCAGCCCCTATCACCACTGTGTACATACCTCTTAACTCAGTCAGAATGTCAATCTTTTGCTCAAGGATTGCTTCCAGCTGTGTAGCGTATGAATCCACATCATAATCTACCTCCTCTGTCATCTCTAACAGAACCTTCTCATCTTCCAGCCACCGGATGGACTCCTGTTAAAACAAAAAAACTTCTAAATCTAAATGGATTTTTCTGAGGGCCCAGGACCATGAGAAGAAAAGAAAACTTGACTTCAGTATACAAATTGCTTCCCAGAGGCAACTTCAAAATGTAGTTTAACCACTTGCCTACCAGCCACTTCAGCCCTTCCTGCCCAGGTCAATTTTCAGCTTTCAGAACTGTCACACTTTGAATGACAATTGCATGGTCATGCAACACTGTACCCAAACCAAAAAAAACTAATTTTTATCTTTTTTTTTGAGACAGAGTATTTTTGGTGATATTTAATCACCACTGGGTTTTTTATTTCGTGCATAACGAACTCAAAAAGACAATTTTGAAGGAGAAAAAAAGTTTCTGTTATAAAATAAATAAGTCATTTTTCTACTTCACTGGTGTGTGCTGATGAGGCTGCACTGATGGGTACTGAAGGGCACTGAACAGAATCAATTACGGGCAGGCGGCACTGATAGGTGGCAACGATGGGCACTGATAGGCAGCATTGACTGATACAGCGCTTTGAAAAAGTATTCATACCCCTTGAAATTTTCCACATTTTGTTATGCTACAACCAAAAATGTAAATGTCATTTATTGGGATTTTATGTGATAGACCAACACAAAGTGGCTCATAATTGTGAAGCGGAAGAAAAATTATAAATTGTTTTAAAATTTTTTACAAATAAATACCTGAAAAGTGTGGCGTGCATTTGTATTCAGCCCCCTTTATTCGGACACCCCTAAATAAAATCTAGTGGAACCAATTGCCTTCAGAAGTCACCTAAGTAGTAAATAGAGTCCACCTGTGTGTAATTTAATCTCAGTATAAATACATCTGTTCTGTGAAGCCCTCAGAGGTTTGTTATAGAACATTAGTGAACAAACAGCAGCATAAAGGCCAAGGAACACACCAGCCAGGTCACGGATAAAATTGTGGAGAAGTTTAAAGCAGGGTTAGGTTATAAAAAAATATCCCAAGCTTTGAACATCACACAGAGCACTGTTCATTTATTCATCCGAAAATGGAAAGAGTATGGCACAACAGCAAAACTTGGCTGTCCACCTAAACTGACAGGCTGGGTAAGGAGAGCATTAATCAAAGAAGCAGCAAAGAGGTCCATGGTAACTCTTGAGGAGCTGCAGAGATCCACAGCTTGGGTGGGAGAATCTGTCCACAGGACAATTATTAGTCGTGCACGCCACAAATCTGGACTCTATGGAAGAGTGGCAAGAAGAAAGCCATAAGAAGTCCCATTTGCAGTTTACGAGAATCCATGTGGGGGACACGGCAAACATGTGGAAAAAGGTGCTCTGGTCAGATGAGACCAAAATTGAACTTTGTGGCATAAAAGCAAAACACTATGTGCCCTGATCATCAGTGTAGATGTCCCCTCTGAGGAATTCCGCTTACCGGCCCTCCACTCAAGTGCTGTCGGTGTGAGGAGAGGACTGGCGATAACCAGCATTTCCGGTTTACCATGTGATCAGCAGTGTCCAATCACAACTGATCACATGTAAAGTCTACATCTTCAGCTCTTTATTGCATTCGGTGATCCGCTGTGTCCTAGGGACACAGCACACCACCGATCACTGCGGCGGGCATGCACAGCTAGAGTGGGAGGATGTCCTCCCAGAACAAGAGAGCTCCCACCCATCTGTCATTTCCTTATACGGTGGGCGGGAGGCAGGTAATAAAGCTGCATAAGTCACATAATAGAATGGACGCTTAATAGGTATATATAAATCAGCATCAAAGTTCAATTTTAAAGACTGTCTGCCCTAAAATGCAAGCAAGGTTGCACTAGTGTCAAACAGCACCAGAGGCGGACTGACCATTTGGAAACTCGGGCACTGCCCGAGGGCCCAGAGTCAGTAGGGGGCCCCATGAGATGCCCCTGGTACCTTTTGCATAGGCTTTTTTGAGTTTGGGCAAGGACACAGGGGCCCCATGATCCCCTATTGCCCGGGGGCCCCATGAGTTGTCAGTCCACCCCTGAACAGCACTAACAATTTTGATGACAATACTGTTCATGCTGCTGATCATACATTGATGTGCAGAGTTCAGAACAGGCATCACATTTAGCTGGTGAGTTAGGATGTGCTATGATGGTCATTCTATATCTACTTGCCGACCAGCAGTAAAACTGCTATAGGGTACCAATTTTCCGCTTTGACTGAAGACGATCAATGGGTGCCGGCCAATGAATGACCGCCGCCACCCGCCGATCAGCAAGGAGATATACTGGACAGAGCTCTGCATATGTAAACAATGCAGAGCTCTGCCCTGTCAGCGGGGATGTGCTGGATTTTGTTTCACTGCAAAGCAGAGAATAAAATTCAGCACTTCCCTTAGTAAAAAAAAAACCTTAAAAATAAAAAGTAAACACTAACACACTGGTTAGACACAGTTAACCCTTTGATCACACTTAAGGTTTAACCCCTCCTAACCAGTGTCATTAGTACAGTGTATATTTTTAACACTGATCACTGTAGAAGTGTCACTGGTTCCCACAAAATATCAGTTAGTGTCAGATTGTCTGCCGCAATATTGCAGTCCCACTATAAGTCGCTTATTACCACCATTACTAGTATATAAAAAAAAAAAAAAAAAATTCCAGTATATATCCCATCGTTTATAGATGCTATAACTGTTGCGCAAATTATTCAATACACACTTATTGGGATTTTTTTTCTATACCAAAAATATGTAGCAGACTACACAATGACCTAAATTTATAAAAGAAATGTTATTACATTTTATTTATTAGATAGGTTCTATAGCAAAAAGTAAAAAAAAATATTTTTTTTTTTGTCTGCCTTTTTTTGTTTATAGCGCAAAAAAATCAACCCAGTGGTGATCAAATACCACCAAAAAGGAAGCTCTATTTGTGGGAAAAAAGTTTTAAATTTCAGTGCCGTACCACAAAAAATTGCCCGGTCAAGAAGGGAGTAAATCTTCCGGAGGTCAATAGGATAATACAGAAGGTCAATGCACCAAATTATGCTGAGCTACACAGTCCAGTACACAGACCAGTAAAGAGAAAATATATGCAGTTTTTTTTTTTTTCCTTCCATAAAAAAAAACGAACTAGCAATATACCTTCAGGTGGAATGACACCCAAGAGTGCCCTTTACACAAACTTCATAGAAAAATGACATTTGGCTACAACACGAGAGCACACTGTCTAATAAAATAACTTCACAGCATCAAGTGCTAGCTAAACGAGAAGGTAATACAACAAAGGATAAGATAGAATGAGTTTACAGCATGATCACATTCCAAGCAGATATAACACTTCATACCTGAAACACCGCTCTGTGATCTTCTACTACCTGCTCTTCCATCTCCACCATCTGTGACACAGCTTCATGAAACGTGAAGAGCTGCGGGGACACCTCTTCTTCCTGAAAGTGTGAACAAAACATTAGAATTGCATAGAGCCGTCACATCATATTGAGCAAAAAAGACATGGACAGCAATTGCATATGTTCTAGAGAGTAAACACAAATAATGGATAACTGTTGTGAAGGATATAATCCATAAGAATATTTCTTATGGATTAAATCTTTCTGAAAAGTAATTGGCGTAGAATGGTGATCCTGAAGCTCACAGTAGACTCATTCTGTTAAAACTGACACAGGCACCATGCTCAAAGGACATTGTTTGAGCAGTTACAGGCGTATTTTAGTGTGTGTGTGTGTGTGTGTGTGTGTGTGTAGGCAATTATGTTTTTTATATTGGAAAATATCTTGAACAATTTGTAATTCACAAAAATACATTCTTCTGTGTAGTAACACCCTTAAAATTCCTTTCCAAGTTTAAAAGGGCCAGATGTTTGGTGTCCATATTTCTGAACTGTGCAAGCACAAAAGCAGTTGGACAATGCTTCGTACACTGACAGGGAACATCCCCTCCACCTACCTTTGGGACCTTCTCATATCCAAACATTAACCAGCAGCTCTCCGTTGATTACCAGCTAACAATGTGCTGCACAGAAAGCTAAAACAAAAGACCTCTCTGGGATCTAAAGGAATACATCCCAGTGTGTGCTTATTTTGTCATCATTTGTAGCTGGGTGTCTTCAAGGACATTGGAAAAGGAAGCTGAAAAACACGGTGGAGCACAAGACATTCCCCTGGCCTTTGCAAAGGCTGCCATTTTCAGGCTTGCTTTACCATGGAACCTCAAAAAACAAAAAAACTTGCACTATTGTAACCTTTCTTTCCATTGCAGTCTAAAATACAACTTTTTTTTTTTTAAAATTTACTTTTTCTCCCTTCACACTCCATTCTCGCCTCAGTGAGGACAAGTACCCTGCTTTTATTGCCTCATGGTATGTTCAAGTCTCATATCCACAGGGGTATTGGCTTCCACACAGTGGCTGGATGAGCATGAACATGGCGGCACATCATCAGGGAGCCCGCTGCAAGAGACAGCTGGCTCCGGGTGAGTAATGAAGGGTAGATGGTGCTATAGGATCTGGTGTGCAGCAGCAGATCATTGCCAGATTTGTGGATACTTATGTTTACAGAGGATACTTCCACAAAAAAAAAGTAATAGAGTGTGAGATTTCTCTTTAAACTAGATACATTTAAACAAATCTATTTATATTAACCTGACATAAAAGCACCAAATTTATATAAAAAATAAAGAATAAATAAAAAAAAGACACATGAAATACATATAGATCTCTGTGCAGTGTTCAGCAATGACATGAAGCACAACAGCTGGTGTAGTAAAGGAATCCACCCACGTTTTGTTCACAAAGAAGTTTGAGGTCATCCCTCTGAGGCGAGCTGCCTACTCCCCACAGTGACTCCAGGTCATCCAGCTGATTCGGGGCGTGATGTAACATGGGGCGCAGCTCCCCAGCAGAATTTGGATCAACAGTCAGCTCTTTCACTCTGAAACAGCAGAAGGTTTGTCAGAACAATCTACTAGAAGAGGCAGTGAGAAATAAATATATGATTAAATCAAATATTCTGAGTGTAAAATGCCCCTTGTATAGATCTCCTTGTAAAATGATCAGCAATTTCTCATCCAAGCCTAAACTTTGGTTTACTGGAAACCACATTTTATAATGTATTCTATGAATTCCAGCTATATTTACCTTTCAGATGAAAGTCCCTGTACTGTACTTATTGATTAGAACAATTCTGCAAATCCTGTCTGACCATGGTAGAAAGCCAGGCCAAAGCCATCTGCCATCACTACACTAAGGACATGTTCACACGTCTGTTACTGGCTGTACACCACCCAGATCACCGTATTTTTGCAACAGCTACGGCCAAGTGTTTCTGAATAGCTACAGCCTGTACAAATCAATGACTAACTGAGAAACTCTACAACTATCCATATGTAAACATACACGGAGAGATTACCAGCAATTAGGGACAGATATGCAGCACTGGATGCAAAGAGGACCGCTCACCTGCCAGTAGCTACATGTAATCATTCCTTGGGAAATGTCAGCAAGTCATTGATTTGTACAGGCTTCCTCTCCACAGCTAATCAGAAACACCCTGCCATACCCACTACAGAAATATGCAGATCTGGGCAATGTGAGGCTAGTAATGGCCGTGTAAATGAGGCCTTATGCCACCAACCCTGGAAAAATCCCACGAAGTTAAGACAGCTTGAAAATGATAGAAACCGTCAACTATATTTTCACACGGGATGTCTGAAAATATAGTGTGGCATATGCTTTAAATGGAATTTATAATGGTTTTATATACATTTTCTTAAGATCAAGACTAAAAATTAAACAATGATTAAAAACTTAGCCATGGCATATTTTATATCTTTATATCAGCTACAAGGTGGAGCTCTCATCTCCACTCTGGAGGTTTCCTCAGACTCTCACTAACCGCTAGGTTGAAACAACCTGTTTACAGAGTTTAATAGCTCAAAAATGGACACCCATTCTCATTAATAAAATCTCTGTTCTTGCAGAAATGAATTGCGTTCCTGACCCACCCAGGCAAAAGGCTGCAGTCCAACCAAGAAGCACCGCAGAACTGGCTACTAAGGAATTATATAAATGTAAAGGAACTGAAGATAAACAAGGAGATCTCTACAAGATAAGAGCTGAAAACAAACAACTGAAAATAAATTCATGCTACCAAATTAAAATGGAAAATCATATAAGCATGCAAAACATATTGAAAATGAAGAGCATAAATTAGAGAAACAAAGGAGGAGATGGCTGAGGCCACAGTAATAATACACATGAGTGATGACAATATCTGAAAAGTAGAAGGCAGGTTAGACCTGGTGAGCGTAGGAGAGAAGTCGTCATACTCATACGAAGGAGAGAGATCAGAGCGACTTCCGCTACCCTGAGAGAATGGAATATCCGACGGACTAATCCCAAATTCCTTTACTCTGCAGGCCCGAGACACGGCAGAAAGATGGAGGAAAGGTTGAGAAGGACACAATACATTTCATCACTGTCCATTCACACAATTAGGCAGAAAGATCATTCACACTACCAGAACATGTAACATCAGAATTAGGGATGAGAAAACTGATTTGTCATTGGCTGCTTGCCTGGCGAATCACAACTCTACAACGCTTCTGAATATTTTCATGCTGATTGGCAGAGACTCAACTAGCTCATAAATGGCAATTATCAAATTCTTGAGAACCAAAACTCACTAGAGATCAGGAAGAGGATGAATTCAGCAAATCAGAAGCATCAAAGAGCTGCAATTCACTAGCAAATCAAATAATCTGATTAGTTCCCCTCTAATTCATAGTTTAGTTAAAAAAAACAACAACATGCAAATAGCAGAACATGGTAATACTGTCAGTCAAGTTGAAGAGAAAAAAAATAATCAAGCCCATCCAATTCAACCAATATATACTCTATAATAAAATCGCCTCTAATTCATAGTTTAGTTAAAAACAACAACAACATGCAAATAGCAGAACATGGTAATACTGTCAGTCAAGTTGAAGAGAAAAAAAATAATCAAGCCCATCCAATTCAACCAATATATACTCTATAATAAAATCGCCAACCCAAGTCAATACATCAACAGGAAAAATTAAATATTGTATACTTGTAAGCTCACCTCTAGTGTACAATATGTAAAACAAGCTTCAACTACCATAAATGATTGTGATAGACTATGCAAATGTCTTCTGTAACAAAGACTAAAGTTCTTTAAAATGTAAAGAAATAAGAATTTTGGCATATATGTAAATTTAATATCTTGGAGTACAGTATAAGACGCAGGTATTCTTAGACCACGGGGTTATATTACGCTACTCTCAGGTGATTGGACACTGGTAAAAGTTTTGATCGGACTGCCCCCAGTGTATCCATACAACCGTACCCACTCCTTATGGATCCAACTTTTTTTTAGCAAGCAATAAGGAGAAAGAGGGAAAGTAACGTATGTCCTCTACTGAGTCTGAGGGTTATAAGCCAGGGAGATGTGTTCTAGAAGTAAGGCGTAAAATAGGCTGTATGTAGTAGAGCTAGATTCTCCACTTAGTGAGGAGGAAAGTACTTATGTCTCTGGGTGGGAAAAAAAAAAAAAAGACACAGATTGTCTCAAAAGAGTCTACAGCATAACCTAAGAGAAATTCTCAGGGAGGGACAACTAAAGGGTGCAATTGAAAGTATGCTCCTGATTATGGGACCAGACATAGATCAAAAAATGTTGTGCTGAGGGATGATGTGAACAGGAATGATGTTGGGATTAGATCCAGGTAACCCAGATATTAAAAAGTTGGTTAAGGCCCCAGAGAAGGATACAAAGAAAAGGAAGACGTGTGAGCATCAGCATTTGGGCATCTTGTTCACAGAAATAGGCTCAGCAGCCTTGTAGTAAAAGGTCACCAAGGCACCCTGGGATATGAATGTTTAGGGTGTGATTAATAGCCTAATTAAATAGCACCAAAGAAAGTGGTGATTTTTTAAAAGCAATGTAAGGACTACATAGATGTGTTAATAAAAAGGGAGGGGTAACCTAAATTCTCTTGCATGAGGGATATAGTGCCAGGTCTACAGAAGACCAGTCCGAAGTCTAGATATTGCAGTAGACATTGGACATGATGACATATGTATCCGTAAATGGTCACAGGTCCTTACGTAGGATTTGGAACATCTTTGTAATGTTTCCTAAATAGAAAGGCAATAACCACCCCCTTGTGACTGTAAGCTGCAAGAAGGTGCAAGGAAAAAGCCTATATTTTGTGAACCAGCAAGTAAGAACAGGTAGTAGAAAGGAACATAAAAGAGGACAGCAACGGGGACTATTACTGTAGCTCTCCAAAGACAGAGTAAAAAGGTTAGAATGTCTGTGAACCATCAATGTGAAGGCGGCTTCTGAGCAAGTCTAGGGGGGGTTGGAGATAGAGGGTCTGTCATAAAAGGAAGGACCTGCATTAGAAGAGGACACCTTGAAGGGGCGAACAGATCGTATAGGTAAGGTAGAGGACGGCCTCTCATTAGTTTTGGTGTGATTATGGCTCTCAGTAGCTACCTCAATGTATTCACTAAAGGATTTTCCAAAGAGGGGCTCACCTTCAAAGGGCATGCGCAAACAAAACCGAGCAGGGCGAGTTGGCCAAGCTCTAAGCCATAAAAGTCTGCACAGGAAGAAGACATTTGAGATTTAATGAATCACAATCTCTTTGGCTTCTACACAGAAGAGTAGGGCTGATGCCAAGAGCTGTAATCTTGCAGAAAGAATATGATTATGTATATCAGGAGAAAGTAGGTGTATCTAGCCAGAGACTAACCAGTACGCGCTGCATCAATTAATTTGTCCACAGTAGCCAGCATGTGACAAACTGAAGCAACTTCACAAAATTCTAGTTGTGTAAAAACATCAGCAGTATCAGCTAACAAGTTTTGCACAATGGGCATACCCCTTAAAGTGTCTTCAGGGTCAAGGTGCCACAGAAATGGACCACAGCCTTGGACCTGTAAAGTATTTGGCACACTACATGTCAGGGTGAGCACAGAATGTAGGATTCATTGCCCAAAGTAAACATTATAGACTGGCCTCACTGTCAGTGTACTTTTCCTAAGATATACACCGAAGGTAACCAATTCGGAAACTACTAGAGAGCCATAAGACAAAAAGTAGTCAGATCTTGATAGAAGTGTCAGACAAAGGAGGAAAAAGAATCCTGGTGAACAATATAAAAAAAATCTTCTCCAACAGAAACTGATGCCTCTAGGAGTAAGTGGGGTTATATAAATACACTTGGGGGCAGTCCTAGCAAAGCATTTGCCAATACCATTACCTGAAGATAGTGGCATATATAACCCATGGTTTAAGATTCAATTTCTGTGTCCTGTACTGTATGAAAGACAACTCCATTGTTTTTATAGCGGACACATAGACCATTATTGTACATACTGTGTCAGAATATGTACAAAAAGAAAAAAAAAAAAAAGTGTTCACTATGCAATTTGTCACCCCAGATCTGCCTAAACAGCTTCTGGTAGTAGGAAGGAGACCACACATCAGGGAAACACATCAGGAGCAGTCATGCAGATTCAGATTATACCTATAGCATGTGTACTCGAATAATAGATATACACAAAAACATTGTACTATAATTAGTCCTACATACCAAAAGCATGAAAGCACAAATCCTGAGCACAGGATGGAATATTGCATACCTGTTTGCGTATCTTAAAGTGTTCAAAGTATTTTCACAGGATGCCATACCAGGAGAAATAGTAGCGATCTAAAAATAACATTTAAATTAATTATTTTACTTCATTAAAGAGGAACCAGAATGAAATATCACATATTTTTTTCAGGTAAGTGCATATAAAGTAAAGTGTAACCTATGCAGCTATCTAAAGAAGGTCGCTGTACACCCCCACCCCGGCAAGGCTTTCATCACTCAGCTGAGCCAGCAGTGTGGACCTGTAATCAAAGTAAGGGGTATTACCTCTACTGACCACCAGTGTAAGGGGCCTTTCACCCCTTGACTACCAAGATTAAAGGGTTCTTTTCACGCTATTTCTCTGGGCATTAAAGATTTAATATTACTAAAAAGAATTGTGAATTGTTTCGTAGGGATGTTACAAAAATATTTTACACCAATCTGGTCAAATATGCTAGATATGCCACTTTTATAGATCTAGCAGCAAATAAAAAAACTTACTAATTCCGCTAATGTACCATGAACTCTATACAGTAATACATTGGTTGACGAATTTAATTCGTTCTGCAGGACTTTTCGTATAGCGAAAAATTTGTAAACCGAAACACTGTTTCCCATAGGAATGCATTGAAAACCAACTAATCCGTTCTTGAAGTCAGAAAAAAGTAAACGCTACTAAAATACCACGAGTTATTTTATCAAGTCATGCAGACAAGCTGCTTGCTTTGGGGGGGAGCATGTTGAGGGCATATGGCCTGGTATGGGGGAGAGGGGGGGGCGCTCGCTTGTCCCCCCTTTTCCTGACCTGCCGGGCTGCATGCTTGGATAAGGGTCTGGTCTGGATTTTGTGGGATACACACCCACGCCATTTTTTTTTTTTTTTTTTTTTACATTTTGGCGTGGGAGTTCCCCTCAAAATCCATACCAGACCCGAAGGGCTTGGTATGGATGGAAGGGGGGACCCCACGCCGTTTTTTTAAATTTATTATGGTGCTGGTTTTTAAATGTAATAACTGCTTTTTTTCTTCTTCACTATAGCTCAAAAATTCAGCTGTCACTTCTCCCAGCTAAAAGAGAAAGTTTTCTTTAAGTTTATTTCCCCAAGTTAAAAGAAACAATGTTTCCTTTTAGTTTCTCAAAAGAAACAAAGTTTCCTTTAACTCTGGAGAAAGTGACAGCTAATCCTGTGAGCTATAGTGAAGAAAAAAAAACAAAAAAACAAAAAGCCAGCAATTGCATTTAAAAATCAGCACTGACATACACTTCGTATTGCGAAAAAAATTAGTAAAAAAATTAATAAACCGAGGCATTATTTTCAATGGATTTTCATTCGCAAACCGAAAATTAAGTTAACCGAGGCATTCGTAAACCGAGGTACCACTGTAGTTAAATGTTTAGCAACAGTTCTTGAAGACAAATTTTTTCACAAGTAAAACGGCAGAGACAGAGCACACATGAGAAAAGGAGGATTAAGAGAAGGAAAGCAAAACATTAACAGTTTGAAAACAAAAAAATGACATTGCAGCAAAGAACCTCCACAAACCTATCAAAAGTATCTGAAGTGAAAGGAAGAAAGAATAGGATGAATGAAACTAAAATATGCAAACCAATCTTACCATGCATGTGCGAGAGTTTTCACCGATAAAAGAGTCCCGAAGAACTTGGGTCAATTTACTGGCTCTAAATGGGGTATGTGGCTTATTCCTCCCTAGGGCACGGATGCACTCCTGAAAACAAACAGCAAGCATATCAATAGATCAAAGAACATATGCGAAAAATATTTCACACCTTAATACAGGCCTAATTGTGACCCACATTTTAAGAGTTTCTATAATTAAGTGTCCCATTTGTATTTTAAAACAGCAGCAGCAAGGGGGGCCAGTGGATGAAAAAGTCAATTTTTTACTTTTTATAAATATAACAAGGCAACACAAAAGTCCTAATTTTAAAACAAAAGCCCAGACAGATTATTACATCATCTTCAGATATCCACATGAAGGGAGGATTGGAGCAGACATCTAAGACAAGGCTGTTCTGTCTGACAGGAGGAGTACTCAAGTCACAAGACTGGCTGCACAAAACTACACATCACTGTCAAATGAATTTACCTGTTTGCCTGGAGTTAGCACATGCAACATGGAAATAATGACTATACTGTACTGCAGTAATGCCATGTACAATTTTGGATTGTCCTTCCTTACAGACCATGTTTTTTTTTTTATTGGCAACATATGGGGACCTACCTGTGTGCATCCCTAAACCATTGCTGCCTACTGAATGCAAGCGAATGCAGTACATACTGAACCATAAGTAAGTTTGTGCTGATGTACACAGTTACAAGACAATATTTGTTTGATTTAGAAGCAAGCAGAATCTGTCTTTGACAATTCCATACTCAAATGCAAAGTATCACAAAAAGTTTGAAATGTTGGCTGACAAAAAAACAAACAAAACAAAAGTGGATGTTTGTGGGCTCAATCACGATTTCTATCTCTCAAGGATACCAGCTGTAAGACACATAATAGCTTTTATGTATGGTGCTATGCTTTTAGAGTCAGATCCTACTGTTGCATTCTCCACAACATAAAAAAATTGAATCATCAAGCAGAGAGAGCATGGTCTTCCTGCAATGGCTAAAGCAAGTCGGCTGGCACATGTGGGATGTAGAGATAGATTTCCTGTGCTAGACTGAACCACAAGTCTCTTCCACAAATCTTAACAGTTTCAGGTGGCCTGGAACGCAACATGTAAGAGTTCTGTGGCATCTAATGCCCAAAGTTCATTCTAGCTAAACTTAAAAAAAACCTCACCTTTAGAGCTAATAAACTTTTGTTTATTTCTGCCCCTTCAAGTCGCGTTTGTCGGTCTGCGCTCGATGTATCTGCTCCCCTCTCGTTTCCAGCCAAATCAATTAGAGAGAATTTACCGTGAAGCTTTCCTTTCTTTCGTAAGATTATCTGGAACACGGCGTGACTTCGAGAAGAGTGTGCATTGGCTGAGGTTTGACCAGACGTTCTAAAAGCCAAGAGGGGGAAAAAAAAAAAGGTGTTTATCCATAGAGGACAAAATGGTAGCACAGAACAACCTTAGATGCTAACCTATGTGCATAAATCTGAACAATCGCCCACATCAAATACGAAATATGACAACATTTAAAAAAAAGTTCTGTTGATAAAAGAATGGATGCAAAGCTAAACACTGAAGGCTATCACATCACCCTCTAATAATATATACAAGTAAGACAGTGTAGCGCAACCAAAAACAATCAATCCAACAAATTGTCCATATTCTTCCACAACAACATGTGAATCCCAGTGTCCAAGAATCAATATATAATGTCCAAATCTTCTGAAACGTGCAATAACAACCAGTGATGACATATAAATTCTTCAGCATCTTCACCGGTATCACCATTGTGAACAAACCTCAACCAAGCAAACTGGCTGCTCACCTTAAGGAAATGAAAGCTGAACTATCAGAAGATCACAAGTGTTTTCCCTTTAAGGGCATATATTAACAATCTGGATGCTGCTGTTCCTTCTCCGTTTCCACCGCTAGGATGTACATCTCTCATATAAAAAAGTGGAGAAAGCAGCCCATAGTGGGTACTATCAATATGTGACAATCTGCGTAATTCCACAAAATGTTATATGTACCAAAAATGTTGTGTCAAAAGTATGATAAAGTACCAAAAAAATTAAAAAGGATGCTTTGCTAAACACTAAAAGGTTTTCCACATCACCTAAAGTAAAAAAAAAAAAATCAATAAACATCAGGGCCGCCCATCAGCAAAGGAGAAAAAGTACCTGTTTGCAAAATTTTATAATAGAAAGAAAAACTTTTTTTCAAATTTATTGTTGTTTTGTTTATAGCGCAAAAAATAAAAACACCAGTGGTGATTACATAGCACCAAAATAAAGCTCTATTAGTGTGAAAAAAAATGATAAAAATGTCATATGGGTACAATATTGCATGACCACGCAATAGTCATTCAAAGTGTGACAGCGCTGAAAGCTGAAAATTGGCCTTGAAACGAATGGGGTATAAGTAGGCAAGTGGTTTAACAGAAAAAAAACCCCCCACAAAAGGTTTTTGCTCTACAAACACTTGAATTTAAATAGATAAAAAAAAACACCAGAAAACACTTAGGCCTCATGCACACTGCTGCTCCTAAACTCATATTTAAGCAGCTTTTGGAGTTTTCTTGTGAAAGCCCCTGAATACAAGTCAATAAAGGCCTACACATAGGCTTTTGCAGAGTTTAAGCATAGCAGTGTTTATTATTATTATACAACAGTATTTATATAGCGCCAAAGGGTTTGCTCAGCGCTGTACAATAGCAAGGGGGACAGGAGATGAGACAGTAACAATACAATACACGAGGGGTTCGAGGGCCCTGCTCTTTCGAGCTTACTATCTAGTTAAGCAGCAAAAACGCATGTAAACATGCATTAACGCCAACTGTGTTTATTGCTTCAGCGTTAATTTACTTCAATTGCCAGAACAAGTTATTATTCTGGCCAAATTAATTAATGCCCAAGCGCTTGACGCGGGTAAATGCGGTAGACGCGTCTACCAGTGTCAAGCATTTTTCTGCTGCCAGAAGAAAGGTAACTAGGGAGTGTCCAGCGTATATAAACCCTTATCTTTTGCCTTTAATTTAAGCTGTTTTGATGGCAGAAACTATACAGCAAGCCTATGATTAATAAAAGGCCCTTGAAGGTACTTTATCTGGTCAACCTTCTACACACAGGTCATCAAGGTACATATGGTCAATGGGTTGAGCTTAGGGCAGGGAATGGCAGATCTTAAGCCTGACAAGAAGTCAAATTATGGCCTAAGTCTTGAACTTAAGGGCCTCCAAAGAGACACAGTGGCTAATTAAAAAGACTACAATAGGTACTTGCAGACATTACAAGGCATCTATACTTCAGCACGTTCCTTACCCCAGAAATCTTTGGTGCTACTTTTTTCACAATCAGAAGCATTAAAAAACAAAAGTCTGTGTGTTGCCTATACACTGGGCAATTATAACAGAGTAGGCGGTTTAACAAGTCTGAAACATACCAACCCTGACCACCAATATAAGATCGGATAGCAAACAGAATATGTGGAGCTTCAGGAGGGTGGCTGCTCTGCTACATTCTATCTGAGCAGAAACTCTCATTTATTTATATACTCCCCCGTCACAATTTAATGAAACAAAATGTGTAGAGTGGGAAATAGCCAGAGAGCAAGGTAAAGTTATACAGAGAACAATTGTTTAGATACAATTCTGGCACACGCAGACCAGAAAGACAGAAAAAATGTGCAGTATGCTGAACTCCTGACGCTGCTCTCGAGTCAGCTTTATCCATGTGTACTAGAAGTCTGTCTCTGCAGAGAGGACAGCTGTTTTCTATGTGCTCCTCTGACCTTGGTCTGACTCAAATTTTAGAAGAGAATGGAGTACCAATGGGCAAGTCCTGCTAGCTTTATACATTACTACAAAAGGCAGGAACGTTTAGAATACACTCTTCCCCACCACCTTCCAACTCTGTCATTCCAACAAAGCAGGACTTCTGGGAAAAGGGTAACATGTGGCTTCCGCTGTGGGACAGTGCTTGATCCTAACGTTGAGCTTTGACACTATCCAACAATAGGAAGGACAAAGTGGCAGCACCTCTAACAGTTTGTCAGTCAGCATAGTTTAGCAAAAATATGACTTTGCAGTGATAGTCTTGGTGCTGAATATATCAGGTTAGACGACATGTACCTGCAGCTGTTACCGATCTCAATCAGCTTCAGAACATCTTCCACACATTTCACTTCCCGTTCCTGCAGCCCAACGACCTGCACTTGCTGCTTGCCATCCTCTAAAACTCGCAATTTGGTTTTCCGATTCAACAAATCGAAGACCTGAAAATAGTTGAGATATTATGCGCATTCATAGGTAAACCTATTTTTTTAATATTTTTAACAATTCACCAACGTCCTCTGTTCATTATGTATTTGTGTGCTGTATATGAGTAAAAATGCTTTTTAGTTCAAGCTGTGAAGACCTGCTGAAAGTCATTGAGAGACTAGATCAAGATGGGCTTCGTATTAATGATGAACTAAAGTGGATGAAGCATTAGACCCCGTTCACACACACTTGTTTCCGTGTGTGTTATCCCACACCATGTTCAATAAGCACTGTAGCTGCAATCCTCAGCGGGTGTCAATGTTAAGGTACTGACAGCCCAAACGTAGGTCACAAATGCAGTGCATCTGACTGCACCGGATCACATGGTACAGAAGTGCATGAACTGTTTTTAGTGCAGTGCTATTTGAGTCCATTCAAATTGAATAGGCTCAGATAGCACTGCATTGTAACATATGTGAATCACACAGGAACGCACAGTGTGTTTCCCTGTGCGATACCTAGTGTGAACCAGCCCTTAAAGTGGTTTTAACGGTAAAAGGTTCACAGGCTTGGATGAGAGCAGCGAGAGCTATTGACTTCTGCTGCTATCAATAAAATACTGTGAGAAGGGAGCAGGGGCGAGTTCGAGCTACGCTGTGAGTGTTAATAGACACACACAGCACAGGTCAAGATCGAGTGCATGCGAGTGCCCCCAAAGCAAATGGCATGTTATTGGGGCATTTTGGGAAGAGGACGAGCCGGCGGGGGACCCCAGAGGACAATGCTTATGGCCGCTTTGTGCAAAATCATTACACAGAGCAGGTAAGTATAACATGTTTGATATTAAAAAAAAAAAAAATAAAACCCCAATACTTTCAACAAACCCTACATGCTCTCAGCCTTTATATGCCATCTATATACCAAGACTACCCATTTTGCAAAAGCTATCTACTTGCTGGTAACCTGGGTTATCAATCACCTTGTTTCCTATCACACCGACACAGCTACAATGAACACATAAGGTCAGCACAAGTCTTAATATCATACACCATATTAATCATGCACATTGAAAACCTGATTGACATTTATAGATTTTTCCTCTAGAATAACTAGAAAAAGACTGCAGTTCCAGCCACAGACAAAAAGCCCTAGTCAATCTAGGTGCAAGTCATCCAGAGGTATCTTAAAGTATCTCTATAAAAACCATCTTTAAAAAAAAAAAAAAAAAAAAAATTAAGATTTTGAAGAATTTTCTTCAATAGGTAAACCTTTTCTGATGAAAACTTTTTAAAAGCGACCCCGAGTTGGTGACCTCTGCTTGGTCACCTCCCTGCCGCAGCCTGCAACTGAAGGGTTTAAGTCATATTAAACATTTAATGTGAGCACCATTAAAACCTATTCTGTACCCAGCTCTGGAGCTTGCCTGCTTCATATCCCTACATTTGTACATCTAACATCCTACTACAGAGTAACAAGGCCGCTTCTCACTTCAAAGAGCAAGTGGCTGGGACACCCAAAAATTAAACTGAACATATGAGGTATACCACAAAGGACACTTTTTTTCCCCACAGGCTAATCTGCTCTGAATAATGTGTCCAATTGCAAGATCAGCAGATTATCTGCTAATCTTAAACTACTCAACTTTTCACAGGTATGAGACAAGAAAAGAGGCAGACATTTAATCAAGGCCCGATGTCAACAGTAGATTCTCTGCTAGACCAGAGCACAGCAGAATCCGAAGTTTGTGTCTCATCTTTGAGTATTCACTGCACAATCCAAACCTGACACAGAGGCTGTCATTTCTGACTTGCTTTTGAAAATACTAGTTGCCAGTTTTCTGTGTTGCTGGGAGCAAGTATGCAAACTAGGAGTTCTCGTTTGCTTATTCTGGGCCAGGATCAGAAAGAGGTTAAAGGATAAATTCACCTTTAGTAACATGTTACACCCATATTTAGGGTGTAACATGTTACCAAATGAGCAGTCCCTGCGACCCCCACCCCCCAAGTCCCCATTGTGACAGTGGGCCGGGGATCTTCTGCCTGCATCATTCAGAGTTCTGCGAATGGCAGAACTACAGCTAATTCTCAATGAACTACCAGCGCTCTAATGAGCGATTTAGGTAGTTTACTGATCCTTCCTGTGATTCAGTAACTGTCTGTCTGTAAGAGGTATGGGTAGACAGCTACAGTGACAGTCTGCAGGAGCCGATCACAGGTGCAATGCTTTACAGGCTCCTAATAAAAAAAAAAAGAAAAAATGCACATTTTTTTTTCTTCAAAAAAAGATGCGCGTTTATTACTTTTTTTTTTTTTTTTTTTTTAAAAAGGTGAACTTGTCCCTAAGCCAAAGAAAATCTGCAATGGTTACTTCTGTATTTCTCTACTGATATAGGGCATTAATGAGGCAGAAGTATCTGGTTTATTATCAGCATTCAAAGCTTTAACACTTTATCTGCATGCATTCTTCCTCCCAGTGTTAATTCTATGGCATTAGGCCAAGTGCATATAGGCATCAAAACAAGGTGCTCAGAGCATCCCCCAAGATCTACCAAGAGCTCTGTGGCACCCAAGGTAGACAGTGTATTGAAATAAAAGGCTCAGGTCATGTAATCATTTAGAAAAACCCTTGCTGTGACTGAATGCAGGCTCCTGTGATTGTCAATACAAATACGGGGAGGATGGGAAGAACAGAACTGAAGCTTCGTCCGCACAACACTGAAATATAGCATGACTAGGAATGCACAATAGGGGGCATAACTAAAAAAAAACAAAAAAAAAAAAAAACAAAAAAAAAAAACTCTACACTTACCTTACCACTGTAGATTTCAAAAAATGTAGCGTATACTTGAAGTTCTAGTTTTTTATAATTTGGTTTCTTCAGCATTTGGAATACATCTCGCGCTGAGGGTGGAAAACAAAGCAAATAAAAAGGTGGTCACAAAGACCAGCACTAAAAAAAAAAATCTACCACACATTCCCTAGGAATATTAAGGCCTGTTTGGTAGATTTATAAATAAAAGAAAACCATTATTGAAGCAACAAGCTACACTATCTACGTCAAAGTTAAAATCAGGCTAATGATAAATCTAAATTGGAAATCAGCCCTTTTCATGCTGTACATCAGGGGTAGGCAAACTTTCAGAGGTTGAAATCTACCTGGAAAACAAGGAGGAAATCCAATAACTCTGGGGGAAGGAAGGTTGGGTGGGGGAGAGGGTCTCGAAAAACAAAATAACTATCAAACCCCCTTTTTACATTAACAAGCTTTTGATTGGTTGCTACGACTGCCCGCCAACCAATCACCTGCTGGTTAATGTGAAAAGTTGACTCTGGCAGCTCCTGCCCCTTCCCTCTTTCCATTTTGCTGTGAAGAGGAGAGCAGTGGAGGCTGGGGGGAAAGACTGGCAATTCAGGGCTGTGTTCCCAATCGAAGACTTGCCGACCCTCGCTGTGCATTCACATCTGTCCCTGTCCTCAAAGAACTTACAGTTTAGGCTCCCTATCTCACATGCACACACATTACAGCCACTTTAAACAGAAGCCATTTAACCTGCCAGCATGTCTTTTTTGGAGTGTGGCAGGGAATTGGAGTATCAGGAGGAAACCCACACAAGCACAGGGAGAACAAGCACACTCCATGCACACAGTCTTCTGGACAGGATTCAAACCAAGGACCCCACTAGTGCAAGGCATAAGTTTAAAAAAAAAACCCAGAATAAAAAGGGGGACCCACACAAACGTACATTTTTCTACAGATACTAGATTACACAAGAAGCTCACCTGCAAGTGCATATATTCCTTTTGAACAGTCTTGATTCTTTCCAGAAAAATCGCCACCCATTGTCTATAAAGAAATTTAAATTTGTATAAGAGAATATCCCTGAGTCATCAAACTACAATAGCACCAGTATTGAGTGTGGCCTCCCTGCAGCTGATCGTTCCCCATTATTAACCCCTTGACGCCAACCACACGCAAATTAGCAGCCTCGCAGAACTGGGCTTTTTTCCATGAGGCTGCTAATTTGCATACCTGTCTCAAGGCGCGCTCCAAGCACAAAGACCGGCGTGTCACTGAGAGTCCCGGGTCTCGTCCTAACAATCAGGACTCGGAATTCCCGATTCCGGGTCACCTGATCGCTGTGATAGCCTCTGATTGGCTATCACAGTGATCAGTCTCTGTGAAGCCAGCCCCCCTTGTTTTCTCTCTTTTGAATGGAGGAGAGAGATACATTGTATCTCTGTCCTTTCAAAGAAAACAAAAATCAAACAACAACAAGGGTCAAGGTAAGGGTTAGTTTTTTTTTTAATTTTAAAATTAGCTTCAGTGTCAGTAGCAGGATAAAAAAAAAAAAAAAAAGCAAAATTGCACACTTTTTCTGGGCTGTACTACAAGTACAAACAACTAACATACACACATGTGGTATCGTTGCGATCGTCAGGAACATGAGAAATTATTTTTGGGTTGGTCTTTTACTGGTAGGTTATGGTAGGAGCAAGAAATAAGAAGGGTCAGCCGCACACCAGAGGATTGATGAATGTAGTGTATATTTATTGATCCACAGGACACACAAAACACAAGGACATGAATACAGGACCTGTTAATGTGTTTCACCACCTCGTGAAACACATTAACAGGTCTTATATTTATGTCCTCATGTTTTCTGTGTCCTATGGATCAATAAATATACACTACATTCATCAATCCTCCGGTGTGCGGCTGACCCTTCTTCCTGTTGCATCGTGTGTGGTGGCGAGTCAGAGCCTGCACCTGTCGTGGATTGATCTGGATTGTTTGCCTGAGCGGTATACCTCTGTTCTTAGGAGCAAGAAATATACAGCTAAATTTTTTTTTAAAAATTGGGGTTTTGTTTTTACCATTTTGGGACAGTATTCCTTTGGTAAAAATATAATTAAATCAGGAGATATCCATTACCATTTACCACCAAATGAAAGCCCAATTTGTCCTGAAAACAACAAGGTATAATCCACCTAGATGCACAAAGTAGTTGTGATGATATGTACTGTTTTGCTAACATGTCAAAGTTGCAAAATTGTGCTTAGGTGTTAAGATTTGTTTTACGTTTAGGCATGAAGGGGTTAATTTACTTGTTTTGCAGGTCTTGGTGGAGGCAGGGCTTTTGTTTCCTCATGTCATACCCTCCAGAACACTGAACAGTAAGCAGTGGTGACATCACCAAATCTCACTCTGAATCTCCTGAGAATATCAGAGGCAGCAGTGCCTCAAGTACTATTAAAGTAGACCTCCATCAATTTTGAAAACCCTTACCATTTAGTTTGATTTAATTTTTTATTACCTCATCTATGTAATTTAAAAGATAACAGTATCTGCTCTGCCAAGGAGGAGGTGTAACAGCACGGAGTACATCAAATCCTCTCCTCTCTCTGTAGTAAAAGGAAACTACGGATCCCATCAACCACAGGGAATTGTAGTGAATGTGGGCATACATGTACATGTTAAATGTGTCTGGGAGTCTTCAGTCCGCCCACCAATGCAAGTGGGGCTGAATTACATCACTGTTTCCTGGATAAAGAACTATAGAAGGGAAGTACCCAGACCAGTGGCTCGGGGAATAGGAAGCATAGCAGCCACCAGTCTTATAAACAGGAAACCAAAGAGATTTAACGGTATGATTTGAAAATGAATAGGCTATTTAAGAGCAACTACTAAGAGAACCAGAAGATGGATGACATATATTCAGTGAAGGTGGGAAATCAACAAGGACATGTACAGAAGTTTTTGCCCGGAGTTCTGCTTTAAGCATGCCTTAAATTAAAAATCTAGCTTACACCTAACTAGCCTTAACACTGTCCCCTCCCTCCTCCTAACACCTACGTTAACTATCCTGTGCAAGAAAAATGTGTACACTTACTGCTCCGGGCTGGTAACCAGATCTCCCCTGTGTAACTCAGCAGCAGCCACAGGGGAGAGGAAAGAGCACTCCAGCTAGTAAAGCCTGCAGCAGTGACATCACCCATGGGCTTCAATGGCCCATGTGTTGGAACTCTCTCCTCTCCCCTGAAGCTGCGCTGGCTGACAAAGTTACATATATACATCTTTCTTGCACAGGTTAGCTAGCATAGGTGTTAGGAGGAAAGAGGGGACAGTGTTAAGGCTAGTTAGGTGTAAGCTAGATTTTTAATTTAAGGCATGCTTAAAGCAGAACTCCGGGCAAAAACTTCTGTACATGTCCTTGTTGATTTCAAGTCTTGCCACAGATTCTCAATTGCATTTAGATCTGGACTTTGACTGGGCCATTTTACCACAAGAATATGCTTTGATCCAAACCATTCCACTGTAGCTCTGGCTGTATGTTTCGGGTTGTTGCCCTGCTGGAAGGTGAACCTCTGCCCCAATCTAAAGTCTTTTGCAGACACTAACAGGTTTTCTTCTCAAATTGCCCTGTATTTCGAGTCCAACCATCTTCCCATCAACTCTGACCAGCTTCCCTGTCCCTGCTTAAAAAAAGCATCCCCACAACATGATGTTGCCACCACATTTCATGGTAGGGATGGTGTGTTCAGGGTGATGTGCAGTGTTAATTTTCCACACCACACATAGCGTTTTGCTAGAAAGTTCAATTTCGGTCTCATCTGTCCAGAGCACCTTTTTCCACGTTTGCTATCCCCCCCCCCCCACACATGGCTTCTCGCAAACTGCAAATGGGACTTCTTATGGCTTTCTTTCAACAATGGCTTTCTTCTTGACACTCTTTCATAAAAGCCAGATTTGTGGAGTGCATTAGTTGTCCTGTGGACAGACTATCCCACCTGAGCTGTGGATCTCTGCAGCTCCTCCAGAGCTACCATGGGCCTCTTGGTTGCTTCTCTGATTAATGCTCTCCATGCCTGTCAGTTTAGGTGGATGGCCATGTTTTTCTTAGGTTTGCAGTTGTGGCATACGCTTTCCATTTTTGGATGAAGGATTGAACAGTGCTCCTTGAGATGTTCAAAGCTTGGGATATTTTTTTTTTAACCTAACCATGCTTTTAATATCCACAACTTTATCCCTGACCTGTCTGGTGTGTTCCTCGGCCTTCATGATGCTGTTTGTTCACAAATGTTCTCTAACAAACCTCTGAGAGCTTCAGAGAACAGCTGTAATTATACTGAGATTACATTACACACAGGTGGACTCTATTTACTAATTAAGTGACTTGTGAAGGCAATTGGTTCCGCTAGATTTTAGCTAGGGGTATCAGAGAAAGGGGGCTGAACACAAATGCACACTACACTTTTCAGATATTTATTTGTAACAAATTTTGAAAACCATTTATCATTTTCCTTCCACTTCACAATTATGTGGCACTTTGTGTTGGTCTATCACATAAATCCCAATAAAATACATTGACATTTTTCGTTGTAATATGACAAAATGTGGAAAATTTCAAGGGATATGAATTCTTATTCAAGGCACTGTACATTCTAAACACAATCAGAAGATAATGTAAAGAGATCAAAACACATGTTAAATTTGCACATTACGACTCATATCACTAACTGAAGTCCCAAAACAAGTTCCATGTTAGGCAACACTTGCCTCCAAAGAATATACAGTTGTGCTCAAAAGTTTGAATACCCTTGAAGAATTGGTAATACAGTATGTATCATTTTTAAAAGAAAACATGTTTGAGCAGGCAACACACATTTCTTTCATTTCTTATGGGATTCATATGCAACTGTAGGTCATAAAAGAATGGTACAACCATAAAACAAAAAACATGGAAACTAGTAAGTAAAATGACCCCTGTTCAAAAGCCTACCCAAAAGCCATACCCTTACTTCTTTATACTTTGTATTTAGCATCAAATGACAGCATCCAGTTGTTTTTTTACAATAGTTCTCTATGAGGCCCCAAATACTTGTAGGTGGTATAGCTGCCCAGCAAAATGCCTCCAACGCATGTAAAATCTTTGGTCATCCTGCATGAACCAGATGTCTGAGATCCACACAGTGTCTCTCGATGACAGTAAGGTCAATAGACCAATGGCCACTACAGAACTTTCATTTTGTTTTCTGCTTTAACCACTGGAGGGTCAATTTGGCCTTGTCCTTAGAGTCATTGTCATGCTAATAAGTCCAAGAGCATCCAATGAGCAGCTTTCATTCAGAAGAATGCAAATTGTCTGCCAGTATTAGCTGATAACATGTTGCATTCATTTTGCCATCAATTTTAAGAAAATTCCCCGTGCCTTTAGAGCTCCCCCCCCCCCCCCCCCCAACACACAAAAACATCAATGAGCCATCACCATGCTTCACAGTGGTGATGATATTCTTATCACTATAGGTCTTGTTGACCTCTGTCCAAAGAGAGCACTTATGGTTATGACCATAAAGCTGAATTTGGGTTTCGTCACTCCTGATTACAGTGTGCTAGATGCTGCGAAACATATCGTATTGTGCTCCTTGAAACAACCACACCGTCTTTTTCCAGAGCAGCTTGTATTTCTCCCAAGTTTACCTGTGAGTTTTTCTTTGTATCCCAAACAATTCTACTGGAAGTTGTGGCTGCAATCTTTCTTGGTCTACCTGACCTTGGTTTGGTATCAATCCCAGAATTAGCCACCACTTAAGAAGTAATTAAACTGTACTGTATTTAAGGCTTTGGATAGCTTCTTATATCCTTTCCATCTTTATAAAGTTCCATTACTTTGTTATGCAGGTCTTTTGACAGTTCTTTTCTGCTCCCCATGGCTCAGTACATCCAGAGCTCACAAACACATTGACTATTTATACACAGACATTAATTGTAATTTAAAAAGCCACAGATATGGGAAATTAACCTTTAATTGCCATTTAACCTGTGTGTCACCTTGTGTGATTGTACCAAGGCCAAGGTTTGTAAACTTTGGATCAGGACCAGCTGGGTGATTTCTGTTATCACGTATTTAAAAAGGAGACAAACAACTATGTGATAATAAATGGCTTCATATAATCACCATCCTTAACTAAAAGACAGTTTTTTGGCATGATCAGTCATTTTCATTATCAATGCCACAATTTCGGCCAGGGTATGCAAACTTTTGCGCACAACTGTATAGCTATGCAACAGATACATGATATAATGGTAGCTATACAATGGATTAACTATAGCAGTATAAATCCTAAAAAATAGACAGAAAGAGCAACAGATCTAACACATCCAGGTATTTTACGCTTTAATTTACAATGATGGAAAAATTACTCCAGAAATTATATATAATCTCTATGGGTTTTTTTTTTATGAAATGAACAGTACTGCAACCATAAAGTAATTTTCTATTGAAGATTAAAACATTAAATAAAATATCTGATTGGTTGTTCCTGTTGCACTGCTACCATTTCATCTGTCTTCTGTTAATGATCACTGATCATATACAGTAAATCTGCTCATGGCCAAGCATTTGAGAACACATTTCAAAGACAAAACTACGCAGTAGTTTCCCATTAATGGAGTTGTGGCAGCAAAATCAAAAGGAAAAGACTGGCTATTCGCTTTTCATTTAATGTTCACAGTACAGAACCTGATATTGTAGGAACAAAACCTACATGGGTTTTACCGCTTCCAGTTTGCCCATACGCAAAGCAAGTGGCCATTCCCCTTTCAAATATGGTTTCTACCAGAGGTCTTGCAGTAAACCTGTTGAAAAATAAAGATTATGAAATGTTTACAGATCTTAATATACGTCAATGTTTTCAATACAGAGTTTAAAATTCACCTGTGTGAACAGCAACAAGCAAATACATGGAGCAAAAAAACCTTAGAAATTTAAGTCATTATTTGCATAGTTGGGCTCCTTGGACTCGGGGTTACTGATAACTTGGTATATTATGGGCCCTAAAAGAATAGAAATTGCAAGTATTGGGACACTCAAACTTATCAAAGCTTCACTACTTAGCCAATCACTGACTGAGAATATGTTACATATTTTTCCTGACTCTTCACAATTAGAATGTCTCTTCCAGCTCAGGGACTTGAAGTTAATATTGTCAAAAAGTTACGTTTTTGAGCAAGAAAGGTTTAAAACCAAATCAAGTAATTATTTTGCAGTCTATGTCCTGCTAGAATGATTTCTCTTCACTTCCTTTTTTGAAGACGCAACTGAAGTTAAAGGAAACCTTCCAATCTAAGGGAAGTTCCCATATAGACAGTTGTCACCAGAACATTTGTCCCTATTTTGAGATTTCCCCTCACCTCTTGCTCTCATGACAATTTAGTATTTCCTATTTTATTCTCTCAACAATGATCACCATGACAAATACAGGAGTAAATCCCCCACCAGGGACACAAACCGCAATAACAACTTGGCATAGTGTCTTACTCTTCCTTATTCCATTCAAAATTAAAGAAAATAAATGTTTTCCTTTTACATACACTTAAAAGCAAAACTGTTGCTTTGCTCTACATTGGCATATCACAGGTCCACTTTAGGTAGTGAAGGAAGAATCAAGGTTGACCACCTTGGGACTTCCATATGTCTATCCAAACATGAACCAGAAGAGTCTTAGATAATACATTCTGCACAGTTAAAAAAGACCAGAGTTGTTTGTGACATATATGCCTGAAGCAGACCAGTAACACACAAATGCACGTTTTAATTTAATTCACAAATTTGTGTGCAGACAGAGTGACAACTGAGCTATTGCTGCCACCACTGTGGATGTGATAGTCAATTAATGCAAATCCTGAAAGTAAGGTTAAAGTGCTTATAAACTCCAGACATGAAATATGAAGAATATCCCTCTAAAGTGTATGCTTGTCTCAGTCCAGAGTATTAAGTGTCATTTCTGTCTGCTGCTTTGTTCCTCTATCAGCATAAGTCACTTCTGATGAATTTTCCTGACACCATGAGAAAAATGGTGACAGGGGAAGGCACAGCCTATGATTGACAGCCTCAGCTCTGTTCGTGTGCTATGTGAAGGAGAGATGTGTCCCTTCCATCCAATCAGCTCTCAGAGTTCTCTTCAATGTCAGAACATCAGCTCTACACCCACTGAATTTCAGAGCTGAGAGATCCTGTGTAAATTCTGCACTTTGAGTGGATGTACGGGAAAGACAGCTATAGATAAACAGGTACAACTTATTTAGTATGGTTTGATTCATCTCTATCACCTGAGGCCAGTCACTTCACTGGGTATATGGAAGGATTTGCAACCACTTTAAGACTGACTTAAGCTGGCCATAAACCTGTGAAATTTAGTTTGAAAAATTTCATTTCTGGAACAGTTGCTCGATCTTCCAATGGTTAATGGGATCAAATCCCAGTCATTCATTCTCGTCTGTAGTGATTGAAGGAGCAAAATAAAAATTGTAACTGTGAGAGTAGTTATCTTATAGCAAAAATCGTACATATTTTAACATGCATAAGCTAGGCACAAAAGAAACCTGATAAATACATCTGGAATTCCATTTAAGTAGAAGGTCTCTAAATTTTTGGAGCTTTCAAACAATAATACGTTGACTCAAGGATGGCAAATACTCTGATGAACAAGTTTTCAGAATTTCCACACAAACTAAATTCTAACCCTACATAAGCAAAATATGCAGGATAACACATGCGTTTCATCAGTGAGTCCTTCTAAACATCTCCTCAATCCTTTCCTTAAAATACCAGCAAAACACAGTCACACTGACAGAAGTTTTACATTTTCTGCTGCTTAACCATACCACTCTTGCCTAGTCCTGCAGCGCCCAAGACAAGTGTCACAGCGGTGAGGTGTTCATATCAGCAGAGTCTTAGAGGACATTTGTGAGCTTGGTTGATTATAACCAATGATTGCTAAGCCTTCACATCTATTTTGGTTACAGTCCCTGTACTATAATCCTTATTTCCTCTTTCAGCATACTACAAAATGTTCACTCACAATACATTAATTCTGCATGATCACAAAAACTGGCAGAGAGTCACTGTCATGACTAGACAGCTTAAGCCATCCATAGATAGATTGAATATCAGTTGGTTCAGCTGGGACAGGCCAATATTCGATCCATCTATGGGAAGCCGATCCATTGATTGGAGCTATAGCTGCTAGCAGTAATCATTGTGTTCTTCTGGCAGGGAAGGCTCCCTGCTGGCAGAACACAATACCACTGCGTGAGGGATTTCCCTGACAGTGTTTGATGGGGGAATCAAGAGATTTTCTTTCCTTTCACCCTTGGTGGAAGGAAAGAAAATTGTATAATCCATGACTTGCTTAAATCTGGTATTTCTGTAAACTGCCAGTGATCAACAGATAAAAACCAGTGTTTCTTGCTCCCAGTCTCTTCATCTTGACTACAGTTGTCAGTAACTAAGGAGACATGGCAACTGGGGTTTTCATGATCTCATACACAGTTGAGGGCCACCTAAACACAGAAAGTACATGTATTGCACAAGGCAGACATCATATGTATGTTGTGATAGATAATGATCACATGCGCTTGGGGGACACCAATCAATAGTGCACACTCAATATTAAACAAAAATAGGGTTGCTGATCCTATACAAAAAAGGTACAACCTTAACAACGTAATATACAAAATAGCAGGAGTGCTGCCTCAATGCATGTCATGTGACATGGAAAACATGCTTAAATAATGAACACATGACAATAAATAGTGAAATAAAGTCCCAAATGTGAAATCGAGTGAACAAAAAATCCCTTTCACATCCAGAAGGTGATAAGTGCTCTGTGCGCCCCCTCACTCGCCAACTTTAATGGACTCTTATGGTGAAATAAGGCTTTCACGCTTTTGGTGGGGCATAGGAAGTCATGCTGGAGCTTGTAGTCCTCCTGATTAAATTTTGCTCGTCATTCCCAGTGATTCAAATGTAGAGCCGATAAATATGTACATGTAAGGAATGGAGAGAGGCATCTAAAATAGTGTCATTCTGTTTATTAGTAAAAGCAGACACACTGGTATTGCACTCAGATGTTTCCAGATACAATAGGCATGAATCTCCAAGTGTACAAAGGTAGGCCGCTAGTATTCCATCATTTCTCTTCATTCTCATCATCTGACCTTTGGGAATAGCGTCCAACCAACTGGGGTGATGTCCACTGTTTGTAGGGATATAGCCGTTTCGGTCCATGGTATAAAATCTATCTCCCTTACTCACAATTTCCAAATCCAAATAATTAACTGATGTTTTGCTACGTGTAGCCGTAAATGAAATACCATATCTGTTCTTATTTATCTCTTTCAAAAATTCCAATAATGTTTCTTTCGTTCCTTCCCACACCACTAAAATATTGTCAATGTATTTTTTGTACATTAACAATTCCTTCCTCTTATGGGAGAAGATTGACTCTGCTTCCCATTTACTCATAAAAATGTTTGCTACAGAGGGTGCATATTTAGCACCCATGGCTACTGCTTTTGTCTGTGCATAAAAATGTCCCTCATGCCAAAAATCCATGAATTAAAAAACAAATTAGAAACAGCAGCCGACACTAAGGAATACAAGGAGAGGACGGTACATATACAGGAATATGTTTCAAAAATAGATAAGGACAGAAGAAAAAAAACTAGGAAATAATTGAGAGACATAAAAGATTACAAACAAGGTATTGTTTACAAGTGGCAAGAGGGTACTGTGGAAGAGGTACATTCCAGGGATGTGTCCATGGATAGGGAGACGACCCCTTATGCCAATAATTCTAAGCAAAAAACCCCTACTAAGAGGTCATACCATAAAAGGAAATCCCACTATGGAGTATGAGATAAGGACCAAGGGAATGCCCAATGTACACCTGGGACTAATTCTGTGAGATGGTATCTTCATGTCCAAAACAGGACCAGGGATGAAGACGGACGTGCAGCACTAGAGCTCCGCTCATCCCCAGCCCTATTGACTCGCCTGCAACGCATTCACAGCATCCACTTACCCCCAGGTGAGCCACATAAGCCATGCACCCAGGCCGGCACTTAGGGGGAAGAATAATGGGGAAGATCGGGCACTGGAAGCCCCCTTCCCCACCGCCACAAGACCCGCGGCCCTCTCCTCTCCAGCGGTTCCTCGCTAGGCCACAATCCCCGGCCTTGAGTATTGCCGTAAGCTTGAGGACGAGCTCCGAACCCCTAGCGGCGGCGGGAGGTACTACAGCTCCTTTCCTAATTGAGCAGCCAGCATCCCCAGCCTCTACACATCCCCAGATGGAAGATCCCGAGCCCCTGACACTGGTAGGGGGGGCACTAGAACACCCTTCTTTGGGACATCATCCCTCTGTTCCTGTTACTCCACGTGTCACCTTCTCTCACAGTATCTGCGCTAGATGATAAATTACAAGTATTTCTACACAATATTACCGCCTCTATATCCGCTGAAGTCGGCAAACTGGCTTTGGATCTTAGAGGGGAAATAGCCCAGATCGGCGGCCATGCGGATCAATTGGAGAATACATTTGATGAATTGGTGCAATGCGTCCATGTCTTAGAAGAAGACAACGTGTATCTGAAACATACCCTGTCCCAAATCCAGCTCCAGCAAGATTTGGAAAATAGGGAACGCAGGCAGAACATCCGTATTCGCGGTATGTCTCAATCTATTGCCGACTCAACTCTATCGACATCTATTATCCTTCTTCACCGCAATCGCCCCCATGGTTCCAGAAACAGATTAGCACCAAGACAGGGCCCATCGATCACTAGGCGCTAGA